CTGAACTGCTTCCGCATCAATGAACACGATAGCTCACTTGCTCTGATATTTGCTCGAACACTTTGAATAGGAACGTGATGCAATTTTGGTCTAGAATCGAAGTACTACATGTCTGCCATCTAGTGGTAGGGAATACAAATGAGATATTACACCATATTAGGAACTACAGTCTATTTGATTAAGTATGACGTCTTTGGTGCTTAGAGGGTTAATATAAATATATTACAGTTTTTCTCGATTGCTAACACACAATTCATTTCCCATCATACTCACTCAGTCTAAGCCACTCCCATCTGTCCTCCCACTTGTCAATCATATCTTTCCTCTTGTCCGTCAACTGCAACAACTTCTCTTTGATCTGTGGGAGAGGTAAACAGACATGAAGGACTGGAACAAGACATCTAAAGATGGTTCTTCTTATCTAAAACCTCTTCAGTCATCCTGCGGACGATACCCACCTCCTCTGATGCATAGTGTTTCCGTGCCAGGAGAGATTTGCCCAGCTCGATGCAGGCCGTGAAACTGTCGTTACGGGCATCGATTTCAGCCTTGATTCCCTGGTGGTTGTTCATGAGAAGCTCCACAGACGACACATCCCTGAAGAACAGCAGATAGAGAGACTGATCTGGAACATCTAAAACATTTTCAGTTTTATATACATTTTTAGATTTATTTTGTACTTAAATAGTACTTGTATTCTGCACAATGTTGACTCCTAATGTAATATATATTTAAAAATACATATAAAAATATTTATATATGTAAAATCCCTTTACTTCACTGCATACATATTATATAAATATTGAGATATAAATCAGTGTCAAAAAGGTGAAAAAGTTAAAGACAATTTTAGCTATATCACCCAGTCCTAATTATTATAAACTAAACCTAAAATTTAATTGATACTAAAACTGAAATACAGTTTTTGATATTTTATTTTTAATAATGTTAACAGTAAAAAAATATTATGAAAATTATAAATCAAAGTGTCACCTAACAGTGAAATACAGTTTTTTTTATTTACTTTTAAAACATACTTTTAATAGTATTTTGTATTGATTGATTATATTAGCATTATTTTTTACATTATTTATCAAACATATAAATTTTAATATGCATTATTATTATTATTATTATATTTATTATATAATTATTTTGTACCTAATTTTTATTATGCACAATGACATACATTTATAAAAATCCTATTTTAAAACATCAAAGAGATGAAAAAAGGATGATAAAGACTAAGACATAATTTTAGCTATATCACTCTATAACACTATCGATGACATACAACCTTTGACATTTTAGTAGTGAAAAAAGAAACTACAACTATTTATTTGGTCTCATTATGAGCCATTTCCGTTTCAAAGACACCCACAAAAATGAGGCTGTCACATTTAACTAAAGTGCAGGCACATTTCCAGCAATATTGTCCCCTAGAGCATTAGGGTTGGGTACCGTTCACATTTTAACCGGTACCTGAATTTCGGTGCCGGTACTTTTTTCGGTACTTTACTCTCTGTGTAATTACAAAAACATTTATTTCAGTGAAAAAATAAGTCCAAAAGTCTAAATTTCAACATTTTGAACAATAGGTTTCTTTCTTTTGTTTTTGTTTTTTTCCCCCAGAAATTCTTTTTTTAATTTTTCTGAAAATCAAATGAAGGCATTAAACATTTATTTTAAATCAAATGAAAATTAAACCCTTTTATTTTTTGGCAAACAAACTGAGGTTTACTGTTGAAATTAATACATGGAAGAAACAT